GTGCCTTCCGGGCCGGCGCCCGCCGCCGCCAGGAGCCCGTTGACGAGCCAGCCGTGCTGCTCGCCGCCCTCCCTCCGCCCCTCTCCCTCCGTCGCCCCCTCTTCCTCTGCCGCCGTGCGTGGCTGCTCCTCCTGCCGCCGCCGGTCGTCGTCCGCCCCGCCGCGCCGCGGCCAGGACGCGCGCACCGCACCGAGGCCCGCCCTCAGCGGCCCGGCCGCCTCGCCCGCGCCGCCGCCGCCGCCGCCGCCGCGCCCCAGAGGCAGGGGCCGCCTGTCCCACACCACGTCCAACTCAAGCAATCCAATGGGGTCCCTTATGTGGGCCCATGCCGACCATGGGCAGCTCCAATCCCAATCAAAAGCCGGGCCCTCTCCGTCCTGCTGGCGTGCGCCGTCGCGAGCGCGGCGCCGCGAGCGAGGAGGGAGGGGCGCGGGTCAGAATGCTTCCGACGCGCGCTGGCGCACACCTTTGTCAAGCCGGCGGCCGAGGGGCGGGAGCCGGCAGCGCCGGGCGCCGGCCGCCGGCGAGGACGCATCCAGCCTCACATTAGACGCGGCCGCCATGAACGCCCCCAGGCCACAACTCCGCCCTAGACAACACACATAGGCGCTCTTCCCTTGCCCCCTGAACCCCGAAAGCAATGCATCCGATCCCCGAACGCGCCCCCTCCATCCCCCAACGCTCGCCTCGCTCGTGGGCGTGAGGTCATCCTGCCGCTGCCTGGACAGCAGCAGCCGCGGCTCAGGCAGCACAAAGGTGAAGCGCGCGCTGAGATCGACGGCGTACCGCGCCCCGTCCCCTGCCGCCGCCGCGGTGCCCCACGACGCTGCGCCGTCCCCAGCCGACGCGCCGGCGCCGGCGTCGGACCGCGCGGCGAGGCAGGCGGCCGCAGCGGCGGGCGCGTGCGGGGCGAGCTGCTCGGAGAAGAGCGAGAGCTGCTCGTCGGGGTCCCTGAGGTGGCGCGGCAGGCGGCTGACGTGGGTGCTGTCGGTGCTGAAGTGGACCGAGCTGCCGCCGACCTGCGGCGGCGCCATAGTTTCGGGAAGGCCGGTAGGCGGGGGCGAAACTGTGACATCAGCAATGGCGAAGAGTCTGCTGGACTCATGAAAGCAAAACTAAACTGCAACAAAATCAAGCCCGGCCTGCACACGGCCGGCTGCTTGAGGCCGTAGTGACGGAGTCGGCGTTCCTCCGGCGCCCCTTCCCTTGCGCCGAGGCGCGCCCCGCCACGTTGCAGCATCGCGCGGCGGCGCCGCACCGCACCCACCAGCGCCGCGCCGCTGTAGGCGTCCCGCAGGGCGTCGTGCACCGGCAGGAACAGCGGCCACGCGACGCCACTGTTGGCGAGCGCCAGCGACCCCGCGGACAGCAGCGTGGCCGCCTCGGCCGCGTCCAGCAGCCGCTTGCTGTAGCTGCGCGGCTGCAGCAGCACGAAGTTGTCGACGCCGAACCAGCGCTGCAGCTTGTGCTGCGGCGCGCCGGCGCCCCACCAGGGGGGGCGCGGCGGCGCGCCGCGGGCGGCGGCGAGGTGGGGCCACCAGGAGCGGCTCGCGGCCGAGCTGGCAACAGGAGGCAATGCAAGGGTTGCGAGAGTGCCAACATTGGCGAACGCGAGATGCAAAGCCCGTCAGATTGCGGGGAAGTATCAGCGCCCGCGCCGCATGCAAGCACGCGTGAGGGTGCAAACCAGCCCAGGCGCCCACGGGCGGTGGCAGGGCCCGGCAGCCGCGCGCTTGTGAGGCCGCCTCCCAACGTGTGTGGATGTGAGACGCGCTCGCCCTGTCCTGCAGCCATCACCATCACCTGCTGGCGTCCCTCTGCAGGTTGGCCCTCACGACCGCCGCGCCCGTTCCCCCCGGCCGCAGCTCGTTCGCCGGCACGGGCAGCGCCACGCGGCTGCTGCTGGGCTCGTCGTCGCCTGCCGCGTCGGACGCCGCCCCGCTGCCCGTCTCCGGCGGCGCAGCCGCGCCGCGCGCGCTCGACGCAGCAGGCGCGCCCTGGCGACGCTCCTGCAGCTGCTGCTGCTGCTGCTGCTGCTGCGGCTGCTGGTCGTGGTGCTGCTGGTGCTGGTGCTGCCTACCCGACGCCGCGGCTGGCGCCGCACCGGCCGCCAGGCCGCCGGCCGCGGTCGACGCGAGGCTGTCGCCGCGGCTGACTCCCCGCGATAGCGACACGCTCTCATCCTCGACCGCGTCGCCGCCAACGCCGCCGCTGTCTGTCTGCTCATCAAGGTCCCCTGCGGGGCCCTCCCGAGTCGCAGCGCCCTCCGCCGCCGACTCCGCACCGCCCTCGCCCTCGCTTGCGGCCGCTGCCGCACTCGCCGCCGCCGCGGCCGCGGCCTCGGATTCTTGGGCTGCGAGCTGTTTCTGCGTCTCATGGAACGAGGCGAGAAGGTCCTGCAGGCGCTGCTGCAGCTCCTCACTGCTCGCCGCAAGGCCCGCGCCCGCGTGCGCGCCGCCGCCGGCGCCGCCGCCCCCCGCCTCCGCGCCGCGGGGGCGCGCCG